TATATCGTTGACAGTGCCATGGGTTCTTCTCAACAGCGTGGTTTTGCCATCCTCCCTCACACCTTCTGATAGTGGCCAAGCCATGCCCTGTGGCCTCCACAGATGGAGGCATTGGCCTAGGACTGTGTCTGTAGCCACCAGGGGGAGGCCCAGGGAACCCTAAATCATGTCAGGCAGGGGATGCAGATAAAAGGGGTAGCTCTGCTCTGAAGACCCCAGATGGAACCACTTCTCCAGCCTCAGAGCCCTCCCTCCTATCTGAATATTTCCAAAGCCTTGTTGGAATAACAAGACACTTGCTGAAATTACTTTCCTTGCTTCTTAAAGGTAAAAGCAAGTGCCATAAAAAGGGTTTCATAGTCAGTTTGGTAATCTCCAACTCGAAGTGGGTGCCTGGACTCCCCATGTCTTCTTTTCCTGGTCTGCCTCCCACCCCCTTGGGCCACCATGTCTGAAGGGTAAGGCCTTGCCCTGATGGCTGAAGAACGTCCTAATGAGCTGGAAAGTCCAGAGCTTTGGGGTCCAGCAGTACTGGTCTGCCCTAGTGTCAGACAAATACTCTCCTAATGGTTCCCAGACTACTGCGCATGCTTTCCAGTTTATACACACCTATTCCTCAGTTGAGAACATTGAGGCTCAGGAGGCCCAAGTGGCTTGCTGATAGTCTCCTGGTCCATAAATGGCTGGGCCAGAGCTGGAGCGATTGATTTCTCACTGCAACACTAGAACTCATTCCTCTCTACTCTTGCTGCCACACAGTAAAGCAGCCAAGAAACAACAGGGATGGACACGTTTGGTTTTAATAAATTTAAAATAAGCCCAGCTGCTTGATGAGCCTGCAGAAAGCCATGGTGAAAACTGGGTGAATCCACTGGGGCTCTACAAAGTACCCTCAAGTTCCCACCTGGTAGACAAAGCCACAGGGCAGGGTACACACAAGTCTGAACAAGTGCAAGACATATCTAAGGAGAAATAATGCAAGGAAGACATTTGGAAAAAAGGCCTTGGCCAGGAGGCAGGGAGAAAGCAGGCCTTGCAGCAAAGTAGCCCTTGGGGCCAGATCATCCTGGAGTCACCCTCCTGCACTCCAGATAAGATGCCTGACACCAGGCAGACCATCGGTGACTACCTCAGTCGCTGTGTCACAGAACATGGTGTCCTCAGGTCTACCATGTCCTGTGCTCCAAATTTCCTGCTCTGTGACTTTAGGCGTTTCAGCCTCTCAGCCTGTTTCCACATCTGTAAAACAATGTTAGTGGAACCAAGCCTGGCCAGCCCTACCATTCAGGCTTCTAACAATCAGCCATGCAAGGATGCGGGGTGTGGAGGATATACGCCAACTGCGACCATGAGAGCCATGCATGGGGCCCCAGTTTCCTCAAGAGCAAAGCTGGGATAACAATATGAAAGTGTCAGGGTTTGCATGGATATACAAACTAATATGTGAGAAGCAATGAGGGGCAGTAAAGAGTGTGGATTTAAAGTCCTGGCTCTACCTCCTACCAGCTGGGTAATCTTGGGCAAGTGTGTTAACCTCTCTGGGCTTCAATTTCCTAGTTTGTAAATGGAATATTGAAAATACCTACCTGATAGAGTTGTAGTAAGGATCAAAAAAGTTGAAAGGTGTGAATTCCAGTGTCTGGTCAACAAGTGATAGGACTGGCTATCAATGTCATTAGACCGAGGATCCACAGAAAGGACTTTACTACATAATCTGTGGTAAAATGCATGCCTGTCCTACAGGCTGGGTGGTGCTGCACTGATTCCTTGATTAATGGAGCTTTCCAGGTGGAAGCTCTTCTAGAATGAAGTCAGCCATATGTGGCTGATGATGGGGAAGAAACTCATAAATCACTCAAAGCAAGTTTGGCATGTGGCAGCTTGCTCAGCAACAAACCTCAGCACAGCCTCATGCCCACCTACCATCGCCACCCAGAACTCTGTGGCAGGCAGCCTGCTTAGCAGAGCCAAGGCACACAGCTCCCTGAGCCTTCTGCACCAGATGGTGACCCATGGCCCCCAGTGATGGGACCAGAACCCATCTCAGTCACCAAACCAGTGGCTCTCAAACTTGAGCAGCATCAGAATCCCCTGCGGGGCTTGCTAAACTCAGATGGTTGGCCCCACTCCCAGAGTTTCTGATTCAGTGGGTCTGGGTGGGGCCCTGGAGTCTGCCTTTTTAGTAAGTTCCCGGGTAGTGCTCAAGATGCTAGTCTGCAGGACCACACTTTGAGAACCACTGCCACACAGTCCTGTGAGAATGAGTTTAAACCTAGCTGCTTATCCATGGACAAGTTTCTTCTCCTGAAAGAACCTCCACTTAGCCACAACGCTGCGTGCACCGGGGTAAAAAGCCCAGGCCTCCCAGCAAGGGGGCTGAACTGCCGGCCCAGCTAGTATGGCCAGTTGACTTCCCCAGACCTCACCCAGCCCATCCTTTATCCAGCCTGAGGCAGGCATTGCCCAGGATATCATTTCAAGCTGTCCTGGAATGTCATCTTCTGAGGAATAGAGCACCAAATCACTGACCCCCAGGCCACAGTGAGAGACTCCTCTTGTTGCTCCCACAGCTCCTGCCTTCCCCTGCAGCTCCTGTCATGTGGTACTGTAGTCACCTGTTTATTTGTCTCTTCTGCTAGAATATTAGTTCTTGAGGGCAGGACCCATTTCTGTCTTGTTTACATTTGTGTCATGACCCCTAGCAAATACCTGGAATGTAGCAGGCACTCAAAAAATGTTTATTAATAATGTAATAACACAGATTTCCTAAACATTTAGAAAGGGCCACATGCTTTGCAATCATTAAATAAATCAGTCTTCTCAAAAACCTGTTAGGGCTATGAGTACTCCCATTCTATAGGTCAGGAAACCGAAGCTGAGAGATGAAATGACTTATTCAAGATCAACAGCTAGGGGCCGGCCCGGTGGCGCACTGCTACAGTGCGCCGCTTGGGAAGCGCGGCGGCGCTCCCGCCGAGGGTTCGGATCCCGCATACAGACCGGCCACTCACTGGCTGAGCGAGGAGCAGGGGCGACGCCGAGGGTTGTGATCCCGTTGCCGGTCACGAAAAAAGACAAAAAGACAAAAAAAAAAAAAAAAGATCAACAGCTAGTAAGTGGCAGAGTGGGGATGGACCCAGCTGATCGGGTATTTATAGTCTGTACCCTTAGCACACTTTTCCCTGCACATGATGGAGTTGAATTCAACAGGAGAGGGCTGTCCTCAGATGGCTCTGGAGCCACAATCCAGCTCTGCTGCTCAGACAGCCCCTCTCCTGCTCTATCAGCAGGTGAGGTCTTTGCTAAGTGCCTGCAAGTGAAGACCTCTTACCATGACAGAAGCTGCCTGGGTCCCCCTCCCCTCTTTTGGAGGAACACTGACTCAGACCATTGCAGGGGACACACAAATACCAAACACACTGAGAACATTGTTGGGAATGAACATTGTAGACATTGTGAACTCCAGACTTTCCAGGTTGCCTTTCCTGTTCTCTGGTGAGAGAGGACCATCCCCATCTGATGCTGAAAGACATTCCCCGAGGGCCTTGGGGTGCTGGACTCCTTGGAGGATAGCGATGTCTGGATTATTCCTCCCAACTGCGAATGGGGAGAGCCCTACTGAGGGTCAGAGGGAAGAGTTTTTGTGAAATCTGAAGCCAAGTCACAGGGGCTAGGGATCAAGGAACTGCTCTCTGCTGGTCAGATAGGAGCACAGAAAAGTCCCTCCTGCCGCCCCCAAGTCCCTCCTGCCACACCACCCCCACACTGTGTACTCTGGGGAGACTCTTCTGTCAGGTTACACAAGGCCCATCATTAATGGCCAGCCCCAGGGCTTTTGTTGATGCTTTCTGGAGCTGGCTAAAGGCTAAGAGCCTTAGTTCCCAGGAAAAAAGGGGGGTGGGAGAGAAAATGGGCCTCTGGAGAGGTAGGTTTGGAGGAGAGCAAGAGGAGAGAGGCTTACTCAGGAGAAGCCAACACCAGAGGCCTTCAAGGCTGGGAGTGCAAATGGATGGGAAGTGGAAGGCTGGCCTGGCCTGGCCAGGAGGGAGGCCTGAGAAGGTGAGGGCAGTGGGCTATACTCCCTGCCAGGCTGTGCAGGTGGATGGATGCACAGGTGGATGGATGCACGGGTGGAGACCAGCCAGGGTCTTGTGCGGTGACTTGCCTCCTCAGCCCAGACTCAGCTGGCTGCTGCAGCCACATTGTGTGCTTTGCTCCAGACCCTTGAGGCCTGGGAGTCAGAAGCTGTGGAGAATTCTGGATTGGCAGTCTTGAGACAAGGTGGGGGTGGGGGCAGAAATGGCTGCGTCCAGGCAAGCTTAGCGGAACACTGGCCTGCCAACTGCATTAACGTGCGTTGAGGCAGCATTTATTTTTACATGGTAGTTCAGCTTCTGATCACAGAAATAGTGGGGGTTTTCCACTGGTTTCCATGGAAACATTAGGCAGAGTATCTGCTACCCAGTCAAGCAAGGCTAGGCCAGTAGGACTCTTTCTGGAATTCTTTTTCTGTTTTTACCCAGAATGTGTCCTGCCTGAATTTTTACCATTGCCTTCTTGTGTGGTAGCGGAGGGGGAGGGCAGCTCAGAGGGGCTGGGGCTTGCTCCCAGGGAAGGACAGAGAGGTGGCTAAAGGCAGGTGTGGGGGTAGGGCCATATCCATGCGGAGAAACCCCTTGCTTTCCATCTCCAAGCCCCAAGGAAGGTCCTGCAATGAGGCAACAGAAGTGTGATCTCAGCCTGGCCAGAGCTGGTTCCTGGGGTCTGGTCCCAGGCCCGGCCTAGCAGCAGGGCTACTTGCTGGCTCCCTAGAGCCGTCAGGGATTTGCTAGGGTAACGTAGGGCATGGAGGAGCAAGTTATCAGGTGCAGGAGGTTGGATTCTGGCATGTCTGTTTCACTTACAGAACAGAGGCCAACTTCCCCTACAAGGCAAGGGGAGAGTGGTGCCAAAGAGGTTGGCCCTAGAGTCAGAAAGGAAGACGCTGGTGCCCGAGAACATATAAGAAGTGGTTTTATTCCAGGTATATGTTTCATAAAGACAAGGTCCTCAAGGACAGCTAGTGGCACATGCTTTGGTCAAGAAGAGGAAAAGCAAAAACAGAACAGGGCTGAGTCCCCACAAAGGACAGCAGGCTGACAGGTGCGGAGCCTGGTCTGACCACAGGAAACGAGGGAGAGACCTTCATCGAGGCCCTCTGAGCAGCAGTCCTTTTACATTCAACAAGAGAAGCCCACGTTCCCACTCCTGAAAGGTCTATGCTCAAGCATGGCCCAGGCCTCTTACCCCATCCTCTAGGGAGAGGCCTTCACCCCTTCCCAGTTCTGTCCTAAGCTGTGGCAGGAGACTTCCCAGATGAACAAAGGATCTGAGGCCTGCAGATGGCAGCGGATGAAACATCACAAGACAGAAGTGTGGTCACAGGAGCAAAGGGCCCGTGCTGGTGAATCCAAGGGGATGCACGCCAGGCACAGAAGCACTGCTGACAGGATGCCAGGGAGAGCCAGGAAGTGAGAGGAAACTGCTGGAGAACCCTCCAGAGTGGGTGCTGCAGATCACTGACACTTGGCTCCTGACCCTGAGGGCCATGTAGAGGGAGCAGGGTGATGGTGCTTTGGGCACACCAGGAGGGAGATTGGGGATGGCAGCTCAGGTGGATAGTGGCTCCAATCCAGAGCAGAGATTCAGACTCTTTGGGGATCACGGACCTCTTTTAAGAAGCTGAGGAAATCAATGGACCCTCTGCCCAGATATGCAAACACATGCAATATTTTGGGGACAATTTCTGGAGATTCCTAGACCCTCTGGAATCCATGAGCTCCCTGTGGGTGTGCGAATCCCGGTCTGTGAAAGTCTGGGGTCTCCTGGGGAAGGATGCCCCAGGCTGGTTTTCTTTGGGAATGAGATCCCCAGGGGCCTGAGCCAGTGGGGTGGGGGAAAAGGGGCGTGGGGAAGAGCAGAAGTGGTTCCAAACAAGGCCATGGGGTAAATGTGGTTAGATGTGCTCTTAGCGGCTGTGAGAAGAAGCAGGGAGTTCTCTACACAAACAGGAGCCACCAGCGAGCCTACCAGCCCACTGCCAATAGCTGAACCCTTCCTGCAATGGGGAGGGGACTCAGGATGAGGTTTAGCCTGATGGTTTAGCCCCTAATGACTTAGGGGATGACCATTCTCCAGAAAGAAGTTTCCATTCTTACCAGTCACCCTGACCTATGATGCTATATTTACAGAGGCAAAGACCTTTGAGAAAGCAGAAGGCAAAAACTGCAAATGAGAATGGGGCTGCTCAGTGGCATGTGGTGGCTGCCCATTCCTCCCGGTGGGCATAGACAGGGGAAACAGGGCACCAGCCGGTCATGAAGGCCCAAGAGAGAGGTCTCAGCCTGACATGTGGCCAAACAGAAGTGGAGTCTGTTTAATAAACTATGCCCAAGGCTGCCCCTAAAGATCCCTCTGCAGCCTCTCACTGAGAATGTGGGTCCCTGCAGGGCAGAACCGGAGGCACGGTGTCAAGCCCAGGCCCTGGCGCTGGTAAGGTTTGTGTGGAGGGACTGCGTCCTGGGGAACGGACTTGTTCTTTGGGTGCTTTCCTGCTCTTCCATCCATGCTCTTCTTCACATCACCCATCCTTCGTCCCCAGGAGCCCATGCCTCCCATATCCAACCCAGCACCCCCTGACTTGGCATCTCTTAGACAGGGCACTGAGCTACTCACTTCCTTCCTGCTCCTCACCTGCCCCTACAGGCTGCCCGTCTCCCTCCTTGCCTCTCCGTCCATGCTGCCCACTTTCTCCCCTCACGCCTGTCCCCACAGGTAGGCCCCAGGACCCGACTGGGCCCCTGTGTGGTCTTCTGTCCTTGCTCTCCTCCGGAAACAAGGGGAGAGTCCACCCACCACTGTCTGGGCCCCGAGAAGGGCCAAGGGAGAGGACAAAGGGCCAGGGCACCTGCCCAGTCTCTGTCCAGCAACAGCCCAGAACCCTGACCATCTCCTCTCCCAGGGCAAGGCCAGGGCGCCACGGAGATCAGGGTGTGCCCTGTGCCCTCCCAAGAACAAACTTTGGAGAAACGTGTGTCATGGCGGGATGTTTGCTGATGATTCCGGCAGAAACGTGAGGAGATGGAAACGGCCCGCTTTACACTCCCCCACCCTAACCCCCTTCTGTCCCAAAGTCTCATGCAAAAGGTACAGGAGGCCCTGGGGCTACCGTCATGTGTGCGGCAGCAGCTGCCACTGCTGGGCCTGGGCATCAGCCTGACACTTGCTGGTCACCAGCTGGGCGGGCTTCGTCTCCAGGCAGAGGCCACTGACTGAATGCTGGATGAAAGATCCTTTTCTCCTCCATTTCTGGGAGGAAGGGAGAGAAGGAAGGAGGTGGATGAAAACACAATGATGAAAAATACTGCTAATGACGTTTGTACCTTCATTTCCCGTATATGAACATGACCCTGTATATACCTAGGACACGCCTTCCTCGTTTAAAACAGACTCTGTGTCCCTCATATGAGAGGCTGCCCCTCCCCACCCCACACAAGCTCTAAGCCCGTCCCTCCCAATGGGACGCTCCCTTTGCTTCTGCAGTTTGGTGTGAAGTTACTGCCTTGATCAGAGAAAGCAAAGCAGATTCTCATGGGCTGAATCAACCCAGATGTATTTTGTTTGGCCTGCACAGTGTTTATTTAGAATTTGGCTTAGTCGCAACATACAAATCTGTGTTTGTAGCTGCTAGTTAGATGTTGGGCCAGTTTCTTAGGTAGCTTCAGTCGGTTGGTGCTGAGGAGCTGCTCTCTGTATTAGATGGGACTCTTGCTCTCCCGTTCACCGTAGTTCCTGCCTGGTCCCACTTTCCTCCTGTAGAGGTTTCCCTGCCAGCTCCCTTTCGGCACTTGAGTTTGTGAGTCCTGGCCTGGGTGAATCTTTTAATTCTGCAAACAAGATTTCTCCCTCCTGTAGCCCTAAGCTTCTGACCTGGCCTATAACTGTGAGGCCAGCTACCTACACCCTCTGGGAACTGGCCACCATCTCTGCAGAGATGCTTGGTGCCTTGGGCTGAGTGTCCCTCCAAAACTTGACCCCCGCTGTGACAGTGTTAAGAGGGTGGGAAGTCCTATTATGGAACTTGAAAGGAGGGGCCTTGAAGAGGTGATTAGATTGTAGGACCATGCTGTAACAAATGGATTAATAATGGTGTTCAGAGGCGTGGTTCCGAGGGCTTTAAAAGGAGATCTGTTAGACTCCATCTCTCTCTGCTCTGCCATTTTCTGCCATGTGAGACACCTGGGTCACTGTCGCCACCACCAAGACCTCACCAGATGGGTTCCCTGGACTTTGGGTTTCCCAGCCTCCGAAACTATAAGCAATAAATTTCATTTTCTTACAAAGTACCCAGTTCTGTGTATTCTGTTATAAGCAACAGAAATGGACTGATACACAGGACAAGGCCAGGGATGGTGGCCGAAAGTCGAGTTCCCCATCATCAAGGGGCTCCTGGGCCAGTGCCTTCTCCTCCAGGTGACAAGGGGGAGCAGAGTCGCCCCTGAGAAGAGTTGGAAGTGCCAGATGGAGGGTGGAGTATTGTTTGGAACACTTAGGAGAAGGGTTGAGAGGCTGAGACCCAGGTTTCAAGGCTCAGGGAAGAATAAATAGTAAGAAAGGTCAACTTTTTTTGGCAGCTGGCCAATAAGGGGAACCAAATCCTTGACCTTGGTGTTACAAGGCTGCGCTCTAACCAACTGAGTCAACCAGCCAGCCTGATAGGTCAATTTTTGGTTTTTCTCTTATTTCCCTCCCATGCAATCACCTCTCTTCTTCCTATGTCCACCTTGTCTGCCGTAAGAGGTGGGAGTGCTCGAGACCATGTGGATGGAGCCCTGAGAGCTCTAAGGGGGAGGGTCCATGTTCTCATTGGAGCAGCTAGGGGAAGAGAGACAAGCCACACCCAGCTGCAGGGCCAGGGCCAGGGCTGCAGGGGGACGTGGGGTGGGCAGAGAGGGGAACCAACTGGGGACATGCACATAGGGTGGAAGGTGGGGGCTGCGCAGCCTACACTCTCCTTGGGAAAGCAGGGCTGTGAGGGACATTCTGTACCCATGCAGCCCTAGCAGAGAGCCTAAAGGCCAGGGGTAGTGGGTGAGAGAGGGCATTTGGCCCCCCTACAACTCACAGCATCCTATTGCATTGTGCTCTTCTAGCCCCCTACATTTACCTTGTGTGGGCCAAACCTCCAGCAATGCCCAGCTGGGGAGAGCATGGCCACCCTTTGCCCAGGAGGTCTTGCCAACCACTATATCTGGGTTGCAGGGCTGTCCTCTGGGTGGCACAGCCCATGCTCAGTGCTGTCTCAGCACCTGGCCTTCTGAGTGTAGTGCTAAATCCCTTCTCTTTCTCCCCCACTAGACTATGTTAAGTTCCTTGGGGGTCAAGGACCATGTCCTTCTTTCATCCTTGTGGCCATCAAGATCTGCACATTCCCTGGCACAAGGTAGGCACCTGATGCAGTTTCATTTTACAATGAATAAATGAATGAATGAATCATCCAATCATTAAGAGGTGCTCCCCAAATTGCAGGATTCTCACTTCCTACCAGTGCTATCAGGCACAGCCTCAGGGCCTCCCAGCCCTCCTGGCACTTAATTCTGGGGCTGGCCGGAGAAACAGTATCATGTCACAGCATTTGTCCATGTCCACAGTCTCAGTTCTTGCAGATTTCCTGCAAGGCAGGCAGGGGAGGGAGCCCTCATTTTATGAGTGAGGAGACTGAGACTCAGAGAGGTGAAGGGAATGACTGAGCCAGGACCTGCTGACTCTGTCACACCTGGTCTAATGCACAGATGCCTCTCAGACACATAAAACCCAACTGTCCACAGAAACAGGGCCAAAGGAGGACCAAGAAAGGAGATCCAGATTCCAGAAAGCATTGGCAGTGGGAGAGCTGCTCATTCTGTCATCCTGGGAGGGGAGGGGCACAGGTGCCCAGAGTGCTGTTGGGAGCCTGGCAAGACTTGCAGGAGCAGAATGAATGGGGCCAGGGAGATTCCTCCACCCCTGCAGGCTGGGTCAGCACAAAGGGGAAAGTGGACGATTCAGCCCCAGAGAAGTATCTGAGTGGAAGCTGCCCCAGGAGATACTCCCCAGCTCTGGCCTCAACAAGAGGGAGTGGGTTCACCCTCAGAGAGGCTGGTGCTCTAGGTAAAGGGAAGACTATGCACAGGCCCAACCGCAGGGCTGGGCAGCCTCAGGGCACAAAAGAACGAGCTTTATCTCCCCAATCAGAAAGTGCTTCAGAAGTGTCCAGCAGGGCCATCAAGCAGGCCACAGCACAGGGATCTCTCAGACAAATACACACACACACACACACACACTCTTTCCCCCACCCCTCAGACACACACACACACACACACACACACACACACACACACACACACACACACACACACTCTCTCTCTCTCTCTCTCTCTCTCTCTCTCTCTCTCTCTCTCTCTCTCTCTCTCTCTCTCTTTCCCCCACCCCTCCAAGCTGGAGGGAAAGGAATCTGGCTGCTTTTCCAGATGGAATAGCAAACTGCTAGTCATCCCTAAAAAAAAGAGCTGATCCAGACAAACAGAAAAGGAGTGGAAGAAAAACCCTGCAGGCCATATCAGAGAGCCGGGCACCCTGCTCCCCCCTCACACTGACCTGCAGGGTGGCCAGCATCAGGCACAGGGTGGACTACCGAGAAGGGTGGGCAGAGGAAGGGCTGGAGCAGCCTCTGGACTTGGGGTCCCATTCCCTGGGCAGCGGAGTTGCCCTTCCAGCCAGGAAGGAAGCAGCATAGAAGGGGGCCAGGCCCAATGTGGAAATCCAGCTTCCAGTTCTGCCCTGTCACTGGCTGCTGTGTGCCCTAAGCAAGTGACTTCATCTCTCTGAGCATCAGTTTCTTCCTCGATAGGCAGGCCTGACCTGTCTCCCAGGATTAATGGAGACAGTGTGGATGAGAATGTTGGACAAATGGAAAAGGCAGTGATCAGACAAGGCTGGTCAGCCAGCTTAGAAATTACTATATCTAGGCCTCAGTTTCTCCAGTCAAGCAGCAGTCAAAAAATACTTGCTGAGGGGCCGGCCCGGTGGCGCACTGGATAAGTGCGCCGCTTGGGAAGCGCGGCGGCGCTCCCGCCCGAGGGTTCGGATCCCACATACAGACCGGTTCCCGCTCACTGGCTGAGCGAGGCGCGGGAGCAACACCGAGTGTTGCAATCCCGTTGCCGGTCCCCGGTCCGGTACGGGGGCAACACTGAGGGTTGCGATCCGTTGCCGGACACGGAAAAAGACAAAAGACAAAAAAAAAAAAAAAAAAATACTTGCTGAGCATCTACTATGTGCTAGGTTAAGATTGTGGGCTTAGGAGTCACGCCAACCTGGTTTTGAATCCCAGCTCCACCCCTTCTCAGATGTGTGATATGACATATGTTCTTTAAATCCAATGAGACTTGGTTTACTAACCTATAAAATGGGGATAGTACTAAGGCCCATGTCACTGGGTGGCTGGGAAGATTACAGAAGTTGATCTATGTAAAACTCCTAGCGTAGGCTCTTGGTCAAAGCAAAAACTATTTGAGCTGCAGTAGTTGCCCAGGGCTAGGGATAAAGTGTTAACACGACAAATAGTCCTGCCCTCATAGAGCTCACAGACTGGCAGGACAGACATTAAACAAATGTTTACCTGAAGAAGTATTTCTTCATGAGTAAAATAACAGGCATGACCTGGATGTTGACTTAGGCCCCCACAGATCCTCACTCTGGAAGGGCTTATTTGAGCTATACGGCTCAAGCTTGGGGCTCCCCTACCAGGGCCTCCCATCCCTTCTGTGTGTCCCCTTGAGGCTGCTGGCCATCTGCACCCGGGGGCAGGGAGGCTTACCTGCTTGCCTTCTCTCGGGTTGCACACCTGCAGAATGACTGGGGACCCAGGTGAGGACATTAAGGTAGAGGTGGCAGCCAGGCACTTCCCCTGCTGCTGGATGAGATGATCACTGAACAGCCATGCCTGCAAGATGGGGAACAGAAAGGACGTCTCAAAAAGTACTGTGATTGATGGATAGATGGGTAGACAGGTGATGAAGCAAATATACTGTACATTTTGTATAACTTTCTGCAAATAATGGTAGAAGTTAGGGATGAGTATATGGGTATTCACTGTACAATTCTTTCAACTTTTCTATATGTTTGAAATTTTTCATAATAAAATATTGGGGTGGAGAGCTTAGCTGGAGCTGGTCCAGAGGGCAATCGAGGATGTACCAAGAGAGGCTGGGGGTAGGGGTAATGACAGGATGTGGGACCAGGGCAGCCAGGGAGCTGGTCCACTCTGGGGTCTCCATGACCGGCTCTAGTTTTGATGTGGGTGCCTTGACACTCATATATTGCACCTGTGTGCACACAGGACTCCTGGATGCCCTGCTGCCTGTCGCACCAGCTGACCACAGCTGCATCCCAGGGGAGAACTGGGTGCTGTTTGAGCAGCATTTTTCCCTCTGTAAGGAGAACACAGTTGGCACACGGAGGGCACCTGTGCAGCAGACTGAGAAGGGATGGGAGTGTGGCAGGAGCAGATCCAAGGAACAGAGTGTAAGGGAACAGCTTGCACTGGGAAAATGGGTCTGTGGAAGATGGAGACAGAGGAGGATGAAAATGAGCAGAGGGAAGCCCCTTACCCACTCCTGGTCCTGACCCCGAGGTCCTAAGCAGCTTACCTGGGCTGGCGGGGGGTTCTTGGCAGACCCTCTGCAGATCCCCATTCCAAGCAGGAAGTCCCCAGCTGTGTTCTGGCCCTGGGATTCTAAGCAGTTAACCCCCTGCTTAATGATGCCAGGGAGTACTTCCTTCACCGGGACACTGAGAGGAAAGGCAGCAGTCAGGCATGTCTTCTGCCCTGCCTGCACTCGCCCACCCCCTCTGCCAGGGGGCAGCACCCAGTCAGTTCCTGAGGCACTGAGGTCTCCACTGAAAGGGGCCCTCTGGGGCAGGGCTGGCCACCAGGGGATGGCAAACAGGAGAAGGTGAGGAGCAGGAGCAGCCCTGGGAAGACTGTAGTTCCCCAGGCCCCCAGTGAGTTCTTCCAAGCAGTTCCCAGAGCCCCAGGGACTGCCCTGGAGGCCAGGCCTGAGACACAGAGGACCATGCAGGGAGAGAGCTCAGGCCAGAAGCACAGGGCTCCTCAGCCCAGAAAGAAGAAAACCTAGGGAGAGGCTGGGGCCTAAATGTGGGCTCAACAACCAATCACAAATGACAAGGAAGGAGTCGTTCCGAAGAGGCAAGTTCAAAATATGAAAATGTGTTCAATCTTACTAATGATTAAAGAAATAGATATTACAACATCACCACTGTTTGTATACCATATATGTGTACATGTGTGTATTCACACACGTATACATACATATATTTCAAAATGACAATGTCCAGTGCTGGCAATAGCTGTGCAATTGGGTCTTCTCATACCCTATCGGTGACAGCATAAATGGTGACAGCATTAATCAACCCAACTTTTCAGTGTGGTACTATGTATCAAAGCTCTTAAAAATGTGCACACCTTTGGCCTAACAATGCCACTTGTAGGAATTTATCATACAGAAATAGTTACAGGGACAAACAAGCAACAACAGGTTCGAGGTTTTAGGGCTGACACAAAAGAAGACTCCTGAGAG